ACATGGACACATCAGGATGCAGGACGGTTCCCCAGCTGGGCTCCTCCTTGGACAGTGATTCTTGACCTTGGCACCAGTATGCCAAAGGTGCTACTGAACTTGTGCAACTCATTGCCCAACAGGCCAAAAATGGGCACCCAATAGCACTCGGCCAAGCCACACATTTGCTGGTGTGTGAGCAGGAGTGTGGGCCACAGCCTCACAGCGGCAGGAAGGCCGGCATCTATGATTGCCCCGCAGCATTCTGATAGCCATAACAGAGCTGTAAATGCCGACTGCGCTGAGTCTGGCTTGCTGTGGCACCATTCACTTCAGACAGATTGGAGTTGGGTGGAGTGGGATTTTCAACCCAAATGAAAGATCTGGGCCAAAGGAAGTGAAATTTTCCAGAACTATTTTATGGTGGGAATTGCTGAGCCAGGCCCAGCGATGGCAGCAGAGGCACCAAACTCCCAGCACAAACAGCCCTCACCCTTTCGGGGGCCCTCCGGGCTCTAAGAGGTGGCCCCTGCTCTCAGCTACAGCGTGTGGGAGAGTTTTACACGTAGATCTGCTGTTTCTGCCCCCTGGGAAGGGAATGAGGATAGTCACCTCTGAAAGAAATCCCTACGGGCTGCACCAGCAGACGGTCAGGCTTCTGCACAGCCGGCTTAGGGCCCCCATTCATACTGGCAGCAACACTAGGCAGAGACTCCTGAGTTTTATCACTGTTAGTTTGCTGGCACTGGCAGAACAAAATACCACAGACTTGGGTAGTTTAAATAATAAAAATTTATTGACTCATAGTTCTGGAGGCTGGAAGTCCAAGATCAAGGTGCTGGCAGGGTTGGTTTCTCCTGAAGCCTCTCTCCTGGGCTTTCAGTTCTCACTGTGTCCTCACGTGGCCTTTCCTCTGCGCTTGTGCATCCCTGGTGTCTCTTCCTCTTCTAGTAAGAGCACCAGTCAGGTTGGATTAGGGCCCCACCCACATGACCTCATTTAACCTAATTACCTCTGGAAAGGCTTTTCAAATACAGTTACACTAGGGATTAACATATTAATTCAATGTATGAATTGGAGGGGGGAGGGGCACACGTTAGTTTATAACAATCACTCACTAGCCAATTCCTTAATCTCTTTGAGGCTTCAGTTTGCCCCTCTAGCAATAAGGACCTAAGAGAGATGATTCCTAGAAAAATCAGTTGACTTTTCGCGGAATGGCTAATGCAGGCCACAGACTTGGAGCTGGTTGTCTATCCAGCCACAGCCGAGCCGGAGGCATCAGGAAGACCAGTGTCGGCCTCCTGAAGGCCAGGCCTCTTGCCTGACTGAGCCCTTCCGTCTGCTCTGAGGAGCGTTTTGTTTTCTGATGGGACTCGCAGCTGATAATGATCATAGCTAACACGGTGCCTAACATTTCTTGAGCACTTCCTGAGTGCCAGGCCCTGTCTGAGCTCTGTCCATGCACTATCTCATTTCATTCATCTACTCAACAACCCTGGGAGGTCGATGGAACATTGTGGCTGCCCTTGGCTTGTCTCTTTGCCGGCTGACCTATTGACCTTGCAGCCCTTAAGTCCATAACAGGAATTAAGACCTGTGCCCCAAGGGCCATGCTGTAGCTAAGGATTGGTCGGCTGCTGTGCTGTTGCTAAGGACTGTTGACCAGGCTGCTGAGGATTCCTGGAGGTGTCATGCCTATCCCAAAGGCATGAATTGTTAGAAGCATGAAGGGTAGCAAGGTACTCTATTTGGATTAAGGTTTGCATTTTTAGAACCCTTCCCCAAATGTCAGATCTCCCTGCTTGAGCTCATATAAGTTGGTCCATGCTTCCATTCTGTAAGACTGATTATTTATTCATTCATTCCAAAAATGGTTGTGCAGTACCTAACATTCCTGAGGTGCTGTCTTTGATATTGATCACACAGAAAAACAGATAAAATCAGCTCTGCCCTTGGATCTTATATTCTAGTGGAGGAGACAGACCTTAAACAAATTGTAAGGTAGCTTAAGTATGACTGTCACAAGTGCTAAGGGATGTGTAGGTGTTTTGTGCCGGGCTCAGCCTACCAGTAGCCAGTGTTGTGGTTGGACTGGCCCCTGTGGTTCTTATTATGATTACAAGATGCCCTTCAGCTATAACCATCAGAGACTTTTGAACACATACAGGTTTATTACTCACAGACTGAAATTACACAGCACACTTGGGGCTACACAGTGAGGTCACAGGTAGAGAGAGAGAGTGCTCAGGGCACGGGTTCTGATTTTATTGGGGTCAAGGGTGGGGACCAAGGGTTCTGTGGGCTCACTTTTTATTGCTGGCTGTAAAAATAAGAGATGGGTTTTAAAGAGCAGGTAGGAAAAACAAGTGGCCCAAATGGTCAGTTATAAAAATCAACCAAGATCTCTGAAACAAAGGGACCCCCGTGGGCACAGGGGCCTGGCTCTTTATCTAGTCGAATGGCTGGCAATGTGCTCATTTGAGATGGGCTTCTTGGAAGGAGACACCTCGGTAATCAAAGCCTAAGGCAGGCGCTTGCCTTGTACAAAGAGAAAAACCCACAGTCAGGCTTTCACCACAGTGGGAGCCGTGGAATGTAAAGGGCGCTGACCCCAATTGGAGGGGAATGTCGGTGGGTATGAAGTTGGAAAGAGGAACAGGATCAGCCAGGAAAGGGCCTCTGTGTGTAGTGGGCTTCCATGTGAAATGTGTGACTTACCGTGGGACATGGTCAAGACAGTTAGGGAGCCACGGGAACTGAAAGAAGGCCCACGAGCCTGGAGGTCGGGGAGAAGGATGAGGGAGACACGGGACAGGCGGCAGAGGAGAGCAGTGGAGCCCTGGGAAGCCACTCACCTGTTCTAAGCGGGGGAGGGACCGGAGCAGTGCTTCTTAAAAATGACTGGCTTCTGAGTAGAATGGGCTTCTCTGGACTCATGGTTTACTTCTTTCTCATGGATCCTATGAGTTATAATTAATTATATTAAAGGTTCTTCTCGTTGGCCCTGAATCAAGGCCAGCAGTTTGCTGAAGCTGCTGGTTTCAAGCAGGAGCCTAAAGAAATGTCTTTCTATGGTCTGTTGGCCATTTCAGAACTTAGGAAATGTAATGGTCAATTCATTAGAAAGAAACATCTGAAAAAAAAAAAAAGGTTCTTCTCTTTCCTTTGACGGGGATGAAAGCAAGAGTAGAGGCGAGAGATGGTGGTGCCGGGAGAAGGGAGGGAACTAGGGGGGCTGGAAAGAGACTTGGGAGATAAACTCCACTGGGATGTGGGGCACAAGAGAGAGGGCGGGCGATGTTGAGGATGCTTCCCAGATTTCTGGCTTGAATAACAGAATGGATTAGGGATCAGCAGACTACAGCTTGCAGGCCAGACCCATCATTCCGCCTGTGTTTGTAAATATAGTTTTATTGAAACACAGCCACGCCCAGTCATTTGCTTGTCGTCCGTGACTGCCTGCACACCACATGGCAGAGATGTGCTTACGACAGAGAGCACACGCCCGCAAAGCCTAAAATATTTCACGGCTGGCCTTTGTACAAAGTTCGCTGCCCTGGGGCAGATGGTAGTGACTTTAGCTGAAATAGGGAACATACAGCACAGGTTTAGGTGGAGAGAGAAAAGAGGACAAGTTCGGATTGGGAGTCTCAGAGGTACCAAGTGTAACTATCTAATAGGCAGTTAGCTCTATTGGTCCCAGAAGAGCGTTCTGGGTGGAGAGGGCAGCAGGGGGCACTGTGGGAGGAGGCAGGATCAGGAGCTGGAACCAGCCAAGCAGAGGGTGTGCGAGAAGAGGGTTCCAGAAGAAATCTCGGGGAATTCTAACATTTTAGGGACCCTGAGCGCGTCCTATCAAGTGTCTGATTCTAAGAGCAGCTCCCCACCGGTGGACTCCAGGGGAGCAGCGGGGAGCCAGGCAAGCACCTGACCTGAGCTTTAATTACTGAGGCATCGCCTTCCAAGAGGCAGGTTCTGCCTTGGTACCCAGTGGTGGTCCAGGGGCCTCCTGGCTACACAGGCGAGGGCCCCAGGATGCCTGCGGCGGGACCTAATGTGTAAGAGCATGGCTCTGGGAGATGCTGTTGAATTGAGTGTCCCAGGCAGGACCCTGTGGGAGAACTGGGACCGGTGGCAGGTCAGTGACACTGCTCCTCTCCATCCCTCCTGGTGACCATGCCTGCCTTTCTCTCTACAGCTGCGCCTGAACGGGGGCCGAAACCCCTTCGAGGGCCGGGTGGAGGTGCTGGTGGAGAGGAATGGGTCCCTTGTATGGGGGACCGTGTGCGGCGAGAACTGGGGCATCGTGGAGGCCATGGTGGTCTGCCGGCAGCTGGGCCTGGGGTTCGCCAGCAACGCCTTCCAGGTGAGAAGCCCGGGTTTCCGCCCCTCCATCCAGTCTGATCCTCCCGCCTCTAGTCAGCCCCCATCCCCCACGGACCTTCCCCAGTCACCCAGAAGGAGGAGAGCCTCGTGCCATGGGCTGGGTGGGAGGCAGCAACCTCCTCCCAGCCTCAGTTCTGCCCCTCAGGACTCTGAGTCCCGGGGTGGGTCACCCTCTGCTTTTCCTCGCTGCAGAGCGAGGGCCTTGACTCTGGTTTCCCAGTCCATTCAGTTTGCACTGGGATTCACCCTAGGCCGAGGGCTAATCTTCCCTTTGCAGAGGGAAGCAGCTCAGTCCTACGGGGTAGTGGACACCACCCAGGCCGAGGCCCAACATGCCCCGGGCCTTAGCTTGCTCCCTGGGAGGCCCAGCTGTAGCCCTTGCTCATGCGTTCTCGGGTTGATCGGCTGCTAAGTTTCCACACCCGTCCAGAACCCTGTCACAGCCGCTGCACCTTCCTCCCCAGGCCCCTTCCTCAGAGTGACTCAGCGGAGGGCAGCCAAGCTCCTGCCCTGCCAAAAGGCAGCAGAAGAAGACAAGTAACATTTAACTTCAAAAATTATTCCCTCTGGACCCTACTGTGAGGGAACAGGCACCCCCAGAGCGGAAGAGTGTCAGAAAGAGGCTGGGGTGGGGCAGGAGACAGAAGGCTGGAATCTTCCCAGCTGTAGTCCCAACAGCCACGGCACAACGATCTGGGCAGAGCAGCCAGCTTTCCAGGCCTCACTTTTCCTCCTGTGACTTGGAATGGACAGTCCCAGGTCCAGAGGACCCTGGCTCCAAACACTTTCCTTAAGCTTCTCGCAGAGCAGGAAAATGGCTGGAGCA